TTGATCATGAGGTGGGCAGTTTCCATAAAACAAAAGCAGGGTTCTTGGAGGGAGCTGAGGGCAATGGAGGCGGAACCAGCAGTTACAAATGTTTACTTTGTTAACCACAGATCCCTTAACACCTTAATTACACCCTATCGCACACCATATGTGGCTGATTTTTTTAGTATTCTCCACCTGACCATGAGGACAAAAATGTTTCTGGTTCATTCTTGATGGCAAGCTGTGCCCTCAGTGCCTCTACCACACAGTTCCCATTAAGAAATTTTTAAATGGAGGGGTAACGGCCATCCATCTAAACAGTGACCTGAATACTCCAGAGACCACACGACATCACTTGAAAACAGGGACCTCAGAGATCTCTGGGTCTCTGCACTACAGGCCTAAGTCTTGTAAAACTAAAAAATATATTCCTGTGATGACAAACAGATAAATGCAGGTTATATCCAGCACTTAGTTTCCAAGTCCCTCTCTCGCTTGAACCTCAGAAATGTGTTCCTAAGATCTTATGTTTGGGAAAGTTTGAAAAAAGCAAGCTATTTGCCCTAAATTAGTTAAGCCTGCAGCATCTCTCCACCCTAACACCTTCTCTACCACCCCTTCTTAAAATGTTGGGTAGCGCTGAACTGCTAGGAACACTTTGGGGATCCAGCGAAGGGGAGGTTAAGTTAGACACTTGGTTTAGGCTCAGTGGGTTTCACACACGAGTGTGTGCCATTGCTTCCTTATACAGTTATACTCTCATTCCGGGAATACTCCTGTTGTTCATTCACCACTATGCACAAAGGCAGAGGGCCAGAAATCAGACCATGTCTATTAAAATGTCCTGCAGTGCCTGGCAGTGCACAGTGCTGGAGAAACAAAGCTGGATGTGTAGGGGGCCAGGTGCTAGTCATCATATGTGTAAAACTGTAATTGGAAGATTGTTTTCATTGGTGCTGAGTCCAAATGTTCAATAATAAAACACACGATTTTTATTAACTATGTGACTAAATTCTATCATTTTCTTTGCATAAAATTTAAATATAAAAGTCATCTAATAAAGAGATGATCAAAGAGGATGCAGCCAAAACAAGCAAAAAGCATCAGAGTAATGAATACAAAGATGTTTTTCTGGGTTTCATAATGTGTATGATAGTTGTCAAGTTTTCTCATTCTAAACACCCTTATTTTTCATACCTAATTTTGAATTTAAAATTTTTCATTTTGTATTAAAGAGTACTCCCCAAACCATGAGTTTCCAGCTTCACAAAACCTAAATCTGCCTTTGTTCATACCGGATAAAAATAGGCCACGCAGACTGCCAAGTAGGTACAGTCTTGGAACTGTCTGTGGTGCTGGACCTAAGGTTCACTTGGCTCTCTCCATGGTACTTACTGCCCAAGCCAAAACTGCTCCTGGTGGTGAATAGCTGGGTTGATTAACGGAAGTCAGGTTTAATGTCATAGAAATGGATGCTTTTGTACATGGAAAAAGCATCTCAAGAGGGTTAAGGAGAACACTACAGATGACTCTCAAGTATTGGGGACAACCAAAAGATAGGGACACCAAGAGTGTCAGCTCAAGGAAAACTCACCCCAAGGTATGCCTGAGTCTACTTCAGGGACAGAGGGGAAGAGGGGCCTGGGGTGAGGGAGGAGAAGAACCTAGAATACAATACGCTGCAGGTGGGGGGCTCTCTTGGAGGAGGAGGAAGAGGGTGATGGAGAGGGGTGGTCCTGAGAGGGCCCTGAGGGTCAGCCAAAGGCCCTGCCCATTGCATTGGTGGGAGATTTGCTGACTGAAGCTGAGATCTCACTGCGAAGTCCCCATTAGCTGAGAGCATGTATGAATCGAAACAGAAACACATGATGTTTTTGTACAGGTCTGCTATCTGCTAAGAACTGCTTCTCTGGCCTAGAAAGAGCACATGGAAGAACTCTTGGTGACTGGGTTTCACACAGAGAATTTATAACCTTGCATTCAGGACAGTGGCAGGTTCATACCAGAATAACTACTGCAATGGGATATCCACAAGGGCACAGTATAACAAGGTTGGGAGGCTCAGAGCATCTACATGAGTTCATTTGAGAGCAACTGACAGTCAGAAATTATAAGACCTTCATCCCTCCCAAGCCCCCATCACTACTCTGAGGATCCCCCAAATTAAAAAGAGACTACTTAATGTAGAAAGCACCAGGGCACAGAATCCACTCGGGCTGCAGCCATGAGAGAGAACATACCAGAAATGGTGCAGACATGCTCTCATCCCTTGAAACTAGACGAGGTTTCAACATGTGGGAAGACACAGCTCCCCACTTCTGATCAGGGGGCTTTGTGGTCCAGGCTGGAGACTGCATTCCCGGGTTTGTTCCCAATATAGTAAAACAGGACAAACATATAGCCATTGTGACTCTGGTTTTCCACAGGTGTTGGATAAACCCAACCCACCACAAAGGGCTGCCCAAAGATTTGGAGATTATGACACAAACTGTTTGTCAATCAACATCCCTTCTCTCCTTCCAATGTTAAGGTTGTACTGCATTGCCTGCCTTGCAGTGAGGTGTAGCCATGTGACTACACATTGGATAATGCGATGTAAGCAGATACAGGCCTCTTAGAAGATGACTGAAGAAGAATTATTTTGCCTTCTCCCATTTACCCCTAAGTCCAGCGACAGCCAGAGCTCCAGGGGGCCCTGAAGCTTAGGGTGCCCTCAAGACTAGAACTCACCTGCTAAAGATGGAGGAGAAAAAGAGAAGTTTGAGTCCTCTGAGACACCACAAAGCCACAACACCTGTTCCGGACTGTCTACCTCCGACTTCATATGAGAAGTAAACTTGTGTCTGCTTTAAGCCACTTTTTATTGGACTTTTTGCTGTCCTCTCACTGAACTTGATACCAATTGATTCAGAGATGGTCTGATACTTATGCTGGTTGAGATGAATGGACATCTGCAGGCTGGTTTCCTCTTGGAACTCTTTGCTTTCTATTCTAAGACACTAGTCTGAGAGAAAAAAGGAAATTAAAGTTCCTGCTGCAAATGTCTATGCTTGTTCTCTGCCCCCTGGAAAGGTAATCATTGCCCAGGCCCAGGGTTCACAGACAAGAGACTATGATGCCCTTTCAGTGCCCTCAGTCAGAACCTGTAGAACAGTGGATCTTAAAGTGGTCTCTCAAGACCAACAACAGCCACAGCTGAGAACCTTTAAGAAATATAAATGGTCCAGCCCTACCTCAGACCTGCTGGATCAGAAATTCTGGGGGTGGGTCCCACAATCTGTGTTGTAACAGCCCCTTAGGTGAGTCTAATACAAGATAATGTCTAAGAATCACTGGGTTCCCAAGAGGAATTACACACAGTACCAGCAAAACAGCATCATCAGGAACAGCCAAGATTCAAGGCACTTTTTTTGAGGGACTTGGGAGAAATGAGGGCTTAGTCCATCAATGTTGGGGAGAAGACAGAGGAAACAGGATTTAATAAACGTTCACATGGACTAAGGAGTTTGATGACCTTCACTGTTCCCAAAACCTTCAAGTTTAATGTGAAAGTCAAGCCCTTCAACTAACTTTTGGCTCTTACCTTAGCTTTTGGACGTGTCCTCTTTCAAAGAACAAAATATATGGCAGCTCAATTCATTAGGGTCACTTCAGTGAAAATAATATTTTTCTAAACACTAGGGAAGTCTTCTGTAGGCTCTGCTGGCTGCTCCTGACACACAAGGAGACTAATTTTCAGCCTTTGAGCATAAGTTCGATTTTGGAAGCAGATCAAAATATCTGCTAAATGGGTAATATAACATAGCCTGGTCATCTCCTTTAGAACTAAAAGAAGAGGTGGACTTGGATAAAAAGGAGCAGACACAGCCTCTGAAAGCAGAACCAGCGTCCCAGCTTGGGAACAATCCCCTGGACACCTGGGGGCTTCTGGTGACCTATACAGTGCTAGCTGGTTGCAGGGCTCACATGCTATTGGGGCTAAGATCCGTCTTTCCACTGACTTCTTCAGAGTGGACCACCTGATCATGGAAGAAAGCTGGCCCTGCATTGATGTAGACCTCAGGCCTGTTTTAGTGGGCATTTATTATTCCCAAGATTTTATTGTTATGTTTAGAAAATCTCCGGGCTTGTGAGCCTGACTCTCCAGGTAGAATCCAGAAAAGTCCAATTTCCAGTCTTCCTTGTAGTGAGGACACAGCAATCCAATGGTGTTACGTGACACTTTGATTCGGAAGTGGGCAACTTGAGGAAGAGGACTGAAAATAGAATCTGATTTGATAGAACAGCAGCAAACCTCTCTGCTTTCAAAGGTGGCAATAATTGTGAGGTCACGTCCCTGGCATGGATGAGACATCACTGGGGTGGCAGCAGCAACAGTGGCAGCAGTTTTGTCATCAGTCATGTGGTACGATATGGCTTCAGATACCTTTTCTAGTTTCTCCAACCTTATGAGAATTCTATGACCAGCTCTATCTTTTTCATAAACTCCTTTTCTGACTTAGCCAGAATTATCTTTGTTGCTAGCAACTGAACATTATGACCAACATGAAAATGGACACTGGGATCATGACAGTCAACAGAACCTTGAGGAAATGAGGATTATTTTGAATTGGTTATCTGGTCTGGCTGAGATTGGTGGCTCAGAATATCCAGAAGTATTAGGGGATGGGACCCTGGAAGCCAAGGGTGTACCTGTAGTTACCTGGGATGAAATGCTCCCTGCAGTCAAGGCTTTGGGATATCTGGTAGGTACTCCCGAGGTACAGGATGAAGGTCATGATTCCACTCAGTTTCCATGATCCCTGGAGATCCTTTGAGGCCAAGACTTCTAATTTACTTTTTGAAGTCCATCCTAGGTTCACTCAGGCCCACTCTCATATTTCTCCTTTGGAATCTTAAAGGCCACTCGGCCTTGTAGACTAGATTACTCTGGGATGATCAAATTTGGGGCAGTAGTACTCTCCCCTTCCACCTCCTTTCCTCCCTTACCTCCACTTCTGCCAAGGTACAGCCACCAGGAAAAATGGCAAAACATTTATTGAGTCATCTACAGCAGTGTGACATCCTTAAAATCCTGGACAAGATTGTGAGCACAGCATTAATGGCGGCAGCGGTAGCAGTAAGGTCTGTGGGGCTTGTCTTTATTGTGGGAGATGAAACTCAGGCTGGTCCAGCTCCTGTGAGTGAGCCAGGAACCATGTCTGAGATGCCAGGGGCTGCACCACTCTAGCCCTGACAGAGGCAAAGCTACAGAAGACGGACATCAGATAAGACACACATGGCCAAGTACAGACACATCCCAAGACTGAGTTCAGAAGGAGGAGGAATGGACACAACACCCACTTGGGAAATGTCCCAGATCCTTGAAGTTGACTCCCAGGGCAATGGCAAGGAAATACTGCTATCGCCCATATGGAAGTATGCTCACTCTGATTCCAACAGAAAACTGAATCAGCTGATGCAGATGAAGCTAGAATTCTGTGTCCATCTGAGCCATCTGGCCTCCCCCTTACTCCTGATGCTGGTGGTTTTACAAATGGGGCAAAAGTTAACTCAGGAGGGCTCGAAGCAGTAGGCAGACAGCAAGGAGTCCCTTTCAGCCGTCTTCATCCCAGTAACAAGCCTCCATCTGTATTGTTTCTAAAATCTTTTCACATACAAGCCATCTCATCTCAACCGTATCCTTGGCCTGTGGGACTAACAATGCCAACCATGGTCCTCCCCATTACTCAGAAGACCGAGGCCCAAAGAAGGTAAGCCCTGGATCACAGAGCAGGTGGCTAAGCCAGGGTTGAAAAGTAGGTCTCCCCATACCACGCTGACTCCATTACTTCTCCTGCAGTAGAGTCCTGGACAACCTTCTGTCACCAGAGCCCCTCTCCTGTGCAAGGTTACATATATACTGCATGGCTGCTTTGAGTGTCACATTCTGCTCATGTGTAGGGCTGTGCATATATGTGAGCCACTTAGGTTTATAAAACATACTGGATCCCACCATGGTGGCAGGCACCATGCTGTGTTTCCTCGTCAGCCCAATGGGGAGGTTTGACCTACAGATGTCCAATATTCCTCCCAGCTTTAGCATTTTGTAAGCCTCCTCAAAGACATAGGGGGAATGAGTCAAGGTCACACAAGCAAGGAGCCAAGCTTCAAGCCCAAGTCCCTGCTCCTTGGTCAGGGCTCTTCTAGCTGACTTCCGTGGTCCCTGGGTTCCAGGAAGACTTTATGATAACAAAGTATTAATACTTGCTGGCTTCACTTTGGAGTAGCCATGAAGGAGGCAAGACTATCACTCAAAAAGAGACCCCTTGAGCTTTCCCTTCCACAAACAGTGAGGGTCAGATGAGAGAGGTGAGTGGGCATCCTTGACGGGGATTGTAGATACAGGTGTGTCTCAAGCCTCCGGCTTCGCTCTAGTTCCCTGGCCCTGCTCAGCAAAGAACCCAGCTTGGAGGGGGCTGAGTTAGGAGTCACTGTAAGCCACTGGATGTGTCAAGCAGGGCGACAGAGCTACACACTGGCACAGAGAATGTGGCTTAGCATTAAGTGGGGAGTCCTTAAGTCTGCAGTGCTAGGGGCCACCACAGGGCCACTGAACCACAGCCACCCACATTCCACACTTAGACCCCTTCTCTGGCTCCCTGACAGCCTCAGCATCCTTGACTTGGAATCCCATTTCCACCAGGATGAGAGTCCTGCCCTGACACTCTGCCTACTCCCTTGCTGGACAGTTGTGACAGGGAAAGAGATTTCTTCATCCCAAGAATGATTGGCATTATATAATCCCAATTCAGCCCCTGTGGGTGAGTTTGGTCCTTCAGGATTGCACAAAATGAAAACCCCCTTTCCAGGAATGGAGTCTCAACAGGGACGAAGTCTGACAAGGCTGCTCCTCCCCAGCCCCAGTTTTCCCAAGTCTCTCACGCTGTCTTCACATGATGGGATTTCTTAGCCTTTCCTGGCCCAGGCAAATACCACAGTTCTGGGGCCCATTTCAAGTAGATGGCTGGTGTTTAGACGGTTCCAGAGATGCTTTGGGCTATATACAAATCATCTAGCCTTATTGCCCATTTTACAGATTTGAAGACAGGGTCAGAGAGGGGAGAGTTTTACACAGACCTTATGCTGTCCACCTACTGCCTGTGACCCTGATGGCCAGAACCTCCTGGAACACAGAGAATACATCAGGTACATCTGCTCACAAGACTGGCAAAAATTCAGACAGAAAAATCAGAGAATAGGAACCAGCAACCTCTATGAGGACACAGGGCCAGGGCTCAGGAAGCAGCACAGTGCATGGGGTTCAGGGTTGATTTTGTTTTTGCTGTTTTGCGATGATGTCTCTATAATGCCAAAGTTTCTTCTTCCACAATGAAACAGACCTGCTGCTGGGAGTGTTGATGAATGAGTGGGGTCCATCCCCAGGGGCTGCTCCTTGGATCTGGAGGAGGCACCACATCCCAGCCAGGTATATATGACTGACTCTACGTCAGGCCCGAGGCACCTGTTCAAATGTCCGTGACCTAGTTCTTCCTTCTAGTCCACCAGCTTCCACTGTGGTGTTCAAATGGAAGGGACAGAAGGTCCATTTCTAAGAAAGGGAAATAAATGGCATTCTGTCCATCCCTCTACACACACACACACACACCTCTCTTTCTCTCTCTCTCTCTCTCTCGAACCTGATATGAGGCACAATGATGCATGCCCTTTTACCTGCCTTGGCTTTGAACTGGAAAATCACAGTACAGGGCAGGGAGCAACGTATTCACAGTCATAGCAGTCTGAACCCAACTGGGGTAGAGTGTAGTTCCCTGAACCCCAGTCCATGGCTCCTTCCAGGCAGCCCAGCCCCGTTAGTGTCCAAAGTGCAAGATGGCCACAGAACCATTGCTTCAGTAATACACACTAGTGCAGGCGGAGGGGACCATGAGGTCAGGTGCAGGGTAGAAGGGGCACTGCACACTCCATGATCAGTCTGAGTCATCAAGCATGCCCAGGAAAGGTCAGGTACCTCCTTTCTTCCTCGGGCTTTGCCAAAGACTCAGGGACTTACTTGACTGGCCAAGGACACGGGCTCCTCTCTAAATTACAGCAATAAGATCCTTTTCCAGCCACTCTGAAAGCCTCTCCAGAAACATTTTCCCAAGTTCCCCAGGCCCCTTCTTCTTTATAAAATGAAGTAACAATCCTCTTCCACCCAAAGTCCCCAAGCATTCCAGAACATCATCATGAGACAAGTCTGCAAACAGAACTTGGACAGGAGTAACACCAAATGCTGACGTGGAAAACTAGGCCACACAGGGACCATGTGCTCCAGCACTTCCCTCTACCTCCCCAGCTGGGCACTGCCTTATTTTACATTCTCAGGCTGAGGGTTTGCAACCTGCAGCTGGGGGCCCAGGGGCAGGTGGTGGGAAGCAAATGCCCCATCAGAATGGGCATGGTGGGTGCAGCTTCTCCTGACACCCTAGTAGCCCAGGGTGAGTCAAGATCAAGGGCATACAAGGGACATCTTTGCAGAGGTCTCAGATTTCAATAGTTGAGTCCAGGCCCAAGGATCTGGTGTCTGGGACACCTTATCATCCATGGGGGTGGGGGTGGGGGTGGGGGGGAGAGCCCTGGGCCCCAGACTCAGGTGCATGGAGGCGAAAGGTGATTGAGGATGCACTGACATCACAGGCAGGCGGCTAGTTCATCCTAGTCATGGCTTTGACTTAGGGGAAATGGGGAGGGCTTAGGGGCTCTCTGTGGTGGGCGTGGTTGGAAACAGCTTCTGGAAGGCATCCATGGGGGTAGGAGAGGTGGACGGGAAGTAACCAGAAGAACCCCGCCCATCTTGAGCTGGGGTTAAAACAATGCAGATGGCAAAGGTTTTCTTCCATGGGTCTCCCAAACTGTGTCTCTTTCCCAATCACAGCCACATTTCTGGCTCTCAGCTCCTCTTGGATCAAATGAAAAGCACCAGAACTTTCCCTGACCTACAGATTCCCCACCCAAACTGAAGTCTCTGATGAGAAGAGCCTTGGAGCTGTCCCACTGTCCTGGGACCCAGGAGCTGAGCACCCAGACACCAAGATGCTGGGCGAGTGCCAGGAGATGTGCACCAAGGGGCGTTCCGGCCACCCGAGCTGGTCCTCTGCTGGGCTTCAGGGACTTGGGCCCAGGACCGAGAGGAGCCCCACGGTGGCATGCACGCTCGAGGGGTCACATCCAAAATCAGATGATGAGGGGGCTGTTGGGGCAGGTACCACCCCAGCTCCCACAGGCAAGCGCTCTCCAGCCTTAGCTCACAAGGCCTCACAGCTGGGGTCAGGCCATCACTGAGGCTGACCGAGACGCAGATGGGTGGAGCTGAGACCTGGCTGGAGGTGAGAAGGGACACTGGGGCAAAGGGGAAAGGGATGGGACAACTTCTCCAAATTTGAGGAGTATTTACATGTCTGGGGTCAGGGCCCCGGGGACCACAGTGGGGGGGCCCAGTACCAAAACAAGGAGGGGGCAATCCTAGTCTGTGCCCTGCCTCCTTCTCCCCCTCGGGGAGCCAAGCTTCCCACCCAGGGCCTGCCCAAGGGGAGGGAGGAGGCGCGAACATGCGTGGGCTGGCGCCTGCCTGCAGTCCCAGCCTGTGGATGGAGGAGAGGAGGAGGGGAGGACGGCTCAGGTGGCCAGGTTGTCAGCAGGGAGACCAGACATGCGGATTTGGGAGCTGCTCTTGCTCAGGATGGAGAGCTGGGTGCCCCCGTTCACCCCACTGCTGGCCAGAGACGGGTGTCGGTGCTTGAAGTCCACAGCGAAGTAACGGTTCACCTTCCAGCTTCGCCATTTTCGCTTGATCTCTGCTTGTACCTGCAGGAAGCAAACTGGGCGGTCACTTCCAGGTAGACATCCTCTCCAGCCTCCAGGCCCTGTCCTGGCCTGGGGCCCTTCCCAGGCTGGCACTGCCACCCCCAGAACCCTTCCCACTACCCAGTTGCAGCCTGCGGCCCTCAAGGTCTCCAATGGGGGGCTTTTAGCAGCTATGGGCAGGCTCTGAGGAGCTGACCTGAACAGCCCTTCCCCTGCCATTTGCTGAGCAAGACTCTCTAACGGCTTCCTGTTTTCAGGCCAGGCAGAGATGAGTGCATCGGGTCTTTCAAAGAACCTTTAGCAAGCAGGGCAGGCGGCTCAGGGAAGGACAGCCACTCTTGGCTGAGCCGTAAGAGTGGACTAGACATTAGAATCACCTGTGAGGGGGCTTTAAAAATTCCAGATGCCCAGGCCATAGCCCAGAACAATTACATCAAAATCTCTGCACAGAACCCAGATGTGGTATTGTTTTAAAGCTTCCCAGGTGACTCCACTGGGTAATCAGGGTTGGGAACCACTAAATAACGCACCCCTCTGGGTAAACACACCCAGGTAGCTCTTAGCATGGTGAGTGGGGGCCGTGCCAAGTCTCAGCCTCCATGTACTTTCTCAGCCAAGTACCTTTGTGCAGTGCACAGATTGCACAACTGGAGGCAGCGCCTGCACCCACCCTCTCCAGTTCTAGCTCCTGCTTCCACTGCAGACTCTGAACAAGCTACACTTCTGAGCTCTCCCGGCCACGACCTGCAGGGCCCTTTCTGCCTCTCCTTGTCCTAATCGGACCCTTCTATAGGTTGTCTGGGTGATCACAGAGCCCAATCTCTTTGTTCCTCAGATGCAAAAAGTGGGAGGAGCCTGGCAAGGTGACGCAGCTAAGACCCAAGCTCTGGCGCAAAGGCTCCTGACTACTCTCAAGCCCACCCTAGCCATTCAGTCCCCACCCCTGCCCCAGCACCTCTGTTCTACCTTGTGCTCAAGGGCTTCACTCCAACAGGCTAGAGGGAGCCCTCAGACCACAGCGCTGGAAATGGAGTATTACTAGAAAGTTCCAGGTCTCTCCCTGGGGTCTCTTCCAAATCCTCAGTTTCCACTCTACCAGGGGAGTTTGGGCCTGGCTAGTCAGCCAGCTGGGGGCAGCCCTGAGTGCTGGACAGCTCCTGGCTCAGCCGCTCTGCCTGTAGGTCCTACAGCATGACCTGTAGGTCCTGTGTCCTGTGCCCCGCCCTTCCTTATTGTCAATTCCTCCTCATCACGGAGTGTGTTAAGGGAGACCATCTCCAGGGGATTTGTGCTCAGCAGAACCGATGCTTTTACCAGGAGCTTTGCTCTTCAGGTGGGGCCTTAGCTGCACAGCAGGCAAAGTGGGATGGATTCCAGCACCGGGTGTGGGCGTCAGGAGGCCCTGGTACCACACAATGCCGGTAGCTGTGTGAGCAGCCCCTCCTCGCAGTGCTGGGAGCCTGGCAGAGCCCTCTATGAGGAGTTAGTCCTATGTGGCCAACAGGTGGCTTTCCCATCTGCTCCCCAGAAAGCCCCACCCCCACCCCCACTGCAAAGAAGCCAGAGGGCCAAAGTCTTACCTCGCCATTCAGAAAACAGTAGAGAACAGCCACCACAAAGCCCTGGGAATAGAGGAAATGAGCCTGAGGATGCTGGCAAAGGAGCTTCTGAAATGCTGTTTGGGGCATGGAGGGGGTGACACCAGGAAGCAAGAAGATACCATGATCTGGATGGGGGCACCTGCCCAGAGGTCTGGGGTAAGATGAGACACTTCTACACTACCAAGATGGGCACACCCATGAGGCCACGTGGCTGGTGGCCGAGTCCTGTCCCACAGATACATTCTAGCTTTGGTTTTCACATTCCCGTGATCAAATTCTTCCCATTCCCAAGGGCCACCTTTACCCCACTTTCTACAAGAAGCCTTCCCTGAATGCCCTAGAATTTCTCTTGGCTCAAACCAGCCTGCAGGCTTCTGAGGGTAGGACCCTTCCAGAACAAAACAGATCTATGCCATCCTTGTCCACCATCTCCTCAATCTGCCCTCCCTGGGCCAGATACTCATACACAGCCATGCAGAACACCACACAGAGTGAGCAAGTACTTTGCACAGAGTATGCACTTAGCTATTCTCTATGGTCTTTAAATCTACACCAAACAAAGCGGGAGCATTTTCTTGAATACTGCAAATTAGTTCCCTGTGATCGCTGTGTTCTGTACTGTCGCTTGAAGGTATTGGAAGAATGACAGCTCAAAGACCCCAAAACTGGTCAGAGAGCACAGGGACAGGAGCCCTGGGCTCTGACTCCTGGGCTGGGGCTTTCTGTATGAGCCCGTGAGTCCAGTCTCAGGTGAGACCCATGCTCAGTCTCACCAGACTAAGAACCTGGGCCAGGTTAAATGGCCTTGAATTAAAATGGTGGAGAAGGTCAAATCAGATATGGAGAGTAAGTTTGACCATGAAGATCAAATCCTAATTCAAACAGCTGGCTTAGGGAGATGTGCTTTCTCCCTGGACACTCCAGGAGTTGCCCTGCCTTGATCCACCCACTGCTGTTCCCGCCGGCTCATTCCTCACCGTGATTCACCTAGCCCCTTACTCATTTCCAGTCTATTCACTCCTCCAGGCACACAGGCAGCATTCTGCCCGCTTCTCATTCCCTCACTCACTCACGTCTGTTTGCTCATGCACTTGGGCAGCTTGCTGGGCTCTCCGCTGGGGACCTAGATGTGGGTAGGAGAGAACTCCAGGGGTGCATGGCCTAGAAAGCTGAAATCAGGATGTGGACACGCTGGGCTCTTGAGGCCTCTCCACCCTGCACCCCAGGCTGCTGGGAGGTACCATCTCAGGTCGCCCAGGGTGGGGGCTGAGAGCAGGGGCAGCTGTCTCAGGATACTCAGATGCAGTGATGGCCAGACACCGGTGTGTCCTCTTACAGGAGCCCCACGGGTGGACAGCAGACACAGCTCCCTCATCACCTCTACTCTAGCACTCATTTCACAGTCCAGGTTAAAGAGGCTCCAGCACCACCTGCAGGTGAGCAACCCGGCCCTGGCTCCCAGTGAGTCCTGCCCTCTCCACGGGCCACACCTACCTGGAAAGAGCCCAGCCCCAGCTCAAACACGAGTCTTTCCCTTTTGCTGACATTCTCTGGGGAGAAGGCGAATACTGTGTAGTGGATTCCGAACAGTGGGATGAGCAGCAGGGTGGACCGGGCCAGCCGCCTGTCAGGAGAAAGCAAAACATCTGTTCTGGGCACTTCCAAGGCTCAGGGCCAGAGCCATGGAGGGCAGAGAACTCGGCCCCAGTCCTTTATTCTCTCCCCGAGCTGGGTCCCCTGTCCACAGACCCCTCAGCATTCTCTTCCAGTGCAAGTGTCCTGGGCTGCTAGGACTCTCTGGGATATTGGGGTGGGGGGGCATCCACAGTCTGCAGGCCACACAGTCAGTAGCCTGTAGAACCACTGAAAATTATTTACAAGGACCCCTTGTGTGACATGTAAAACCCTTGGGAAAAGCAAAATCAGGACAAAACACAGGGATCAGACTGAGAAGGCTTGAGGGAAATACGGGGTGCTCAGGCAGAGCAGCCTCTCCTGTTCTGGAAGGAAGGCCCCTGTGCCTGAAAGGAGCAGCCCTCGATGGGCCACAGAAACAGTTGGCTTTTCAGAGTCTGGGGCTAGCCCAGACACTCACCAAATGTTGGGGAGTTGCTGATGACAGGGAGGGAAGGAAGGCACAGTGAGTGGACCACAGAGGAAGAAACTCAGGAGGAATCCTAAGAGGAACTTAGTGACCCTGGGTATCGGCAATCTCCATCTGGGCAGGAGGAGCCTGTTTCCGGGAAACTGAGTCAAACGTGGAGGAGAATATCTGCTCTGAAGCAGGCCAGGCAGGGGAGGAATGGCTAGAGAGTATCTCCTGAGGTGGCTCTCCTGGGGCTCTCCTGCCTGCCTGCCTCTGGCCCTAGGCTGACAGCAGGGGGGGACTCTGTTCTGAAGGCACAGGGCCACAGAAGCCCACAGCTAGGACACTGGGACCATGTGAACTTGCGGGACCTGCTCTATGGGGGGTGCTCCCAAGGGTTCTCCCAGAGTGGGCACACTGGCTCCTGTGGGTCTCCCCAGAGAGGTCAGCCTTGCCCTGTAGATGTGGCCTGTCCCCAGGCTGCACCCTGCCAGCTTCTCCAGAGGATCAGCCTCCCCAGCTTCCATCAGAGCTAAGTCCCAGGGTATGGACAGCAGGCATCAGGCAGCCGTTTGATTTGGGGCAATCACACCACATGTCCCTCTCCCTCATCCAGCTTTTCTGGAAGAGAAGGTTCTATTGAACACAGGAGCTCTGGAGGTCTAGAGAAGCCGAACTCTTGGAGTCTGCGTGAGGCCCTAGACTTCCTAGCTTACACTGAGAGGAAGGAAGGAAGGAATGAGGAGACACAGAGGGAGGAGGGGCAGCCCGAGGAGATCTTCAGGCAGAGGAAGCTCAGCCTGGAAAGGAAGGAGGACCGTGACTGGGTGCCCATCCCTTCCCGCCCTGCTCACAGACAAGGGTCAACAGGATCTGAGCAGGTCTGTGCTGAGCCCAGATGTGATCCTGACCGGTCCATCCTTCTAGCCTTCGTCTTATCTGTCTCTGACGGTAGCTCTCTGAAGGTGGGGGTGGTGCCTCATTTATCTGTGGCAGGGAGCTGATGCTGGGAAAATGCCTGTTCCAGGAAGAAATCCATACAGCACACAGACCTAGCATGAGAGCCTCGGTATCCTCAAAACGGAATTCTCTCTTGAGCACTCGGGTCTTGTTCATCTCTGGTTGCCCATGCCTGGCACCAGAAGGCAACAGGGAATGTTTGTAGAAGGAATGAAAGTCAGGAGTGCATAGGAAAATGGCCAGAGGACATGGATGTCCTGGGGACTCCTCTGTGGCCCTAACCATAGGGGCTACTTTTAAAAAGCTGCCTAGTGAAGGAGCCCAGGAAAGGAAGGTGGCCTCAGAACATTCCCTGTGGCCCCTGCCTTCCCCTTCCTGGCCTCCGTTCCCACAGGAGGGACCACTTCCAAGTACTTGTCCCTGCAGTCTGAAAAGGGCCCTGGAAACCAAGAGGTCAAATCTCTCCAGCTTCTGTGGTGGCATCACATGGGATGGATTCAGAGTGTGAGAAACTGACCTTTCAGGCCTTTCCCAGCCACAAGGTGGGTGCAGGGATGGTAGCGAGGGCATCCCACAGCACAGTCTGAGGCCAACACTGTTCCTCCCCAGCAGCCCTGCAGCAGCCCCAGAACAGTTGGGGACTTCTTCTGGGGAGCCAGGACATTCCGGTGACTCCTTTGGCAGATGAGGCAGTAGGGACAAAGGATCTCTAGAGCCCGGGGTTCTGGGACTGTACTTCTAAGCTGATTGAGGTCTTGGAATGGGAACATGTGATGTGAGCCACTATCCATAATGACACAGGGCCCAGGCCTCTGTCCTCCTGCCCTGAGGAGACAGCAATGGGCAGAAGAGTCCTAAAATACCAATAAGGGCATGTGAGATGCCCAAAATTACAGTGGGCTGCCCAGGAGGACAAAGGCACCCTTAATAAAAGGGACGTCCAAATTGAGTCTGCTATTCTAGCCATAGACTCTTTGGGGCAAAGTGCTTAGGATTCTCTGGGTTCAAATCCTCTCTGTTAATTAGGGGTCCTTGAGTGAGTGAAGTCATCTCTCAGCACTTCAGTTTACTCATCTGTAAAATGGTGATGACACAAGGACCCAGCTCATAGAGTCATGGGGATTGAGTGAGTTAATGCTGACTCACTCACAAAGTGCTGTGAACACTGGAGTGAAGTTCCCTTCCCTGTGCAGGGGAAGGTCTATATGAACTCAGGCTCTAAGACTCTTGGAAATAATTTTGCAGTTGAAATCACTGAAGCTCAGAGAAGTTGGGGACTGAGGACAACCACACACCAGGTAGCAGCGGCAGAGAATGCGGGGCTGCTGCCTCCTCAGGAAGCACCCACAACTGCTGCAGCTCCAAACCCACACCCTACCCACCCACCCCATGACCACGAGGCTGCAGAGAACTCACAAGACACACCGACACAAACATGCAACAGCTGGGAATGGGTTGGGGCTGGGAGGCACAGGCCGGCTCTCCACTGTCCTCCAGCAGCGGCAGTGGCAGCATGCGTCCCCCACCCCGTCAGGACTCCCGGCCACAGCCTGGGCCACGCACACTTACAGAGTAATGGTGGACAGTTCTGACATCTTGCAAGAGTGCTGCTGAGCCCGCTGTGGCTTGCAGTAGCATTTCTGCACGCAGCTGCTGGGTGTGACAAGATTAGCACTTCTGTCAGCTGGGGGGCACCAGGCAGCGAAGACACTCAGTTTACAAGGAAGGCGGAAAAGAGGAGGGTATGGAAACAGGGCCAGGGCAGTCATGTGGAGGAGAATGAGGGAGCCGAGGGCCAAGACATGGGCAGCTCTGGACAGAGAAATGCACGCCTATACGTGGACATGAGTGTGCATGGCCGCACACGCACATACACAGAAGCAGTCACACTGGGGCCAGTGATAGGTGGGTGGGCTTAGAGGAAACGTGTATTCAGAAGGTGGCCTGGGCTGGGTCTCACACAGGCAGCCAGAGGCTGCCTCCAGAGTTGGCTATAAGCTTAGAGCACAGTCTCGTCCAGGTCCCACTCAACAAGATGAGAACTGGAAACTCACACTGCGGACCTTCTGCACTGCCCAGCACAGGCAGCCTGAGCCTTGAATCAGGCCAGTTCTGGGCTTGGCTGTGAAGGGGTCAACTTGGGTGTCCACTGGTCTTTCCTTTCTACCCTCTCCCTCTCCTCTGGTCCATAGCTTCCTTCCTCTGAGCCCCCCAGCAACTCAGAATCAGCACATACATAGGGGGCGGAGGTAAGTCAGATTGAAGAGATTGCTCACTCTTCCAGACCTAAACTATTCCAATACAACAGCCACTACCCACATGTGACTATCTGAATTTAAATTAACCAAATTAACTCGCATCCACAGTTGTCCTGGCCACATTTTAAGTGCTCAACAGCCACATGGGGCTAGTGGTTATCATATTGGACAGCACAGCCATAGAGCACTTCCATCACTGCAGGGAGTTCTATGGGAGAGTGCTGGGCTGAACTTCTTGATAAAAGTTCAATGGGCAGGGACTGAAGACTGACAGCACTGCCCCATGGTTTGCAGGGAAAAAAAAACACCTCAAGGAGGGGGGCCCAGGCTGCAGTCCTGGTCTACATTCTCCTGGGTGTACCCAGGCCTGCCTTCTCAGGGAGGTCTCTCCAGCCCACCATGGTCCTGTTTGGGCTTAGGCTGGCACGAGCCATGGACACTTTTCCCTTCCCTAACAGATGTGTCAGAGGTAGCTGAAGAGCTGTCATCGTTTCCGATTGCAAGAGAATAGCTACTTTGCTGACTTTCCCCAGGTACCACATGGCTCTGTGGTTCCTGGTGCTGGCCAGTGAATTAATCAGATTGGACATGATGCAAATGAGGACAGATACAGAGACCACACCCTTGGCATTCAGGATCTGCCTTGTGTGATTCCAGCTCCTCAAGAGTAAGCCTGAAGGTACCTGACAAGTGGTGACATGTCATTTTGCTGAGGGCAGAATTTGTGTCACATTTCCAAGATGGGGCAAGCCCAGGCCTCCCTGCATCTGTGCATAATGGGTTTGGGGTTCTCATTCAATAAACAGCAGCTACAATTCATATCCCACTGTGAGGTGGGCACTACAGATCCCCTTTTCCAGAACAGAAATGCTGAGGTTTGGTTTGACGCTTTGCTACTCTGTGGTCCCCAGACCAGCAACACCAACACCACCTGAGTGCTTCTTAGAAATGCAGAATCCCAGGTGCCACCTCAGACCTGTGGTCAGAATCTGCATTTTAACAAGATCCCTGGGGGGTCCACATGCATGCCAAAGCTTGAGAAGTGCTGTTAGGTGTGGTATTTATCTGAGAAGGTTCTTCATGATTCCTCAATGAATGTCAAAGGTCTGTTTCATACACATACAAAGAGACAGACTCAAATAAGCATGTTTTTCTCAATCATTTAAAAGAGCTTAACTGGGTGTACAGAAATAGCAGCTATTCTATTCTTCAAATTTATTATCTACCTTGCCCAAGCTGAAACGTTGGTTAGTCTCAGGGTGGGCGGAGGGGCTCACGCCCGTAATTCCAGCACATTGGGAGGCCGAGGTGGGCAGATTGCCTGAGTTCAGGAGTTTGAGACCACCCTGGGCAATGTGGTGAGACCCCATCTCTACTAAAATACAAAAAATTAGCCAAGAATGGTGACAGGCTCATGTAGACCCAGCTACTTGGGAAGCTAAGGCAGGAGAATTGCCTGAACCCATGGGGCAGAGGTTGCAGGAAGCTGAGATCGCACCACTGCACTTCAGCCTGGGCGACAGAACAAGACTGTCTCAAAACAACAAAAAACCTTGGTTAGGTTAGCCTCTCCTATGGCCAAGGGACCCCTCAACCTGGGCTTGGGTAAACCACAGAAATCGGGGTCCAAGAGACCCCCAACCTCAGCCGTTGCCTCCTACATGTCAGGCTTAAACTCTCACTCCGAATTCTAAAGTTCTCCTCTGCAGCCCTGCTTTCTTTAGCTTCAGATTGTTCCTGTCCCTCTTGGACCCCAGATGTTTCTATGGTAAAGAAAGACTTCTCTGAACGTATTCTAAAGACCATTTAGTGACAAGTTCACTGGGAAACCCTGTACCTGGTGAAGTTGTGTGGCTCTGCTAGGGGTGGGGGAGGGCAGATCAAGAAGCAGCTTCGGGGTGGTGGGGAGGACTAGCCCTGGAGGGCTCTTGAAGAAGGTGGGTCTAAGGAAAAGGCTTTCCCCAAACCTTCAGTGGCTCTGCACAAAAGGACTCATGGAGAAGAAAGAGAACAAATCGTGCAGAAAAGCCAAGACAGGGGTGGGAGAAGGAAAGATTTCAGAATCTGAAAAGTCAGGACAATTAGGGAAAAGAGAAAATTGGAAGAAGAGATGAGCCTAGACTGGCTGATGGGATAAATTCTGGGCTGGATTCAAGAGAGAATAACAGCTCAGGCAAGGGTGTTAGGTGGGGCTGTCTGGACAGCAGAGCAGCCTGACTGGGAAGCTGGGAGACCCCATCACAGGTGCAGGGTCCACCTCCATGTCTGCAACTCGGGGAGCCTTGGCCTCCCGGACTGGCTCCACCATGGCTTCACTGTGTTGTCCACAGGAAGGTCACAGCCATTTCCATGTCTCAGCACTCATATCTGTCAGCCAGTGATCCAGCACATGGTGTTTTTGAGGGCCAAACTCCAGAAATGCTTCCATCGTCCTCGTATGCAGGGCTACTTGGGCTATGGCCCTGGGAAACACCCAGAAGAACACTAGACAGAGACGCCTGCAGGGAGCCCTTTGCAGGAAGCATCTCTGTCGTCTTCATGTCTGCAATCCTAGGGATCAGCATGGTCTGGCCACGTGGTGGTCCACAGAACGTGGCGGACTGAACTGAACACACTCCATAGGATCTCTCTTGATGATAAAATGCTGTGCACACCCAGAGCCCTGCCCACTCCCAGAAGTACTCCCTACCACCCTGGCACCCCAGCTAGCAGCACAGCTCACAGATCTGGGGAACTTCCTGCCCACCACCACCCCCTTACCAACCACAAGGACAAGCTACCCCTCCATGCTCCCAGCCAGCCTGGAGTGGTCCCAGCTGGGAACTCTGGGCACCTGAGTTCAAGGTTTTGCTTGGCAACTGACTGCTGGGTCATCTTAGGTGGTTCCATTTTCCTTCTCTGGGCCTTAGTTTCTCTTTCAGCAACATGAGGGTAACGATTGGCTGCTGCCAGCCCCTAAAGTGAACTTTGAGGATCGCGTGCTCCTCGGCAGGGAAGGAGGTGCGTGAAAGTGGAAGATGGAGCCCGTGTGCACTGGAAGGCTCTGGCTGTGGAGGAAGCCTAGACTGAAAGCTGCCTTCCTGCACTTCTGCCTGGCCCCAGCACAGCCACCTTCAGAGATGTGGGCATTCTTCCCAGTGGGGCCAAGGAGACCCCACAGGAGTACAGATGGGTTTTCCCTCCTCCACCCAAGCTGTAGCTTCCAATGGCTATCTTCCAGGGAGGAGACCCCTGGAGTAAAGCCTGTTCACTTCAAGGCAGGGGGTCGAGGCCCTCCCTGAACAGTCAATGTCTACCCTGGAAGCCTCACCTCTCCCCTTTCTGAACCAGTTACCTGCTCACAGAGGTCAACTCCAGTTAGGCCAGACCTGCCTGAGGCTGAGTGCCAACCCCAGCTTTTAAGGGCTAAGCCCTCACCCCTGTCCCAGACCAAGTCAACCCTGAGCACATGCTGAGCCCTGGCCCAACCCTGATGCCCACTGCCCATGTCCTGTCCCCAGCCACACCTGATGCTTCTACCTGGAGCATCAGGTCAGGGAGGATGGGTGGCTCAGTGCCACTGTCCCCCTGCAGGGGCCCCAGATCCCAACAGGTACTTCTGAGGCTGGGCCAGGAACACCATCTTGATCTATGGAGGACAAACCCTTATCACCTGAACAGCTGGAACCAACCTACAGGAAAGGGAGTGAATGCTGGTCTGAGGGCACAGGCAGGGGGTCCTCTCGGGCTTTCTTGGGGACTCGCGGGTTTAAATTTGTTCTGGAAACAAGAGGAAAAAACCGGAGAGCTGTTGTGGGCAGATCTGAAGGGGCTTCTCGGTCCCACACGTAACGCTGGTACCCAAGGTGACTCCGGCACAGCCTTGGAATCTCCCTCTGCCACCAATCCCTGCCCTCTCCACCTCCCCTCCTCCCAGTACAGACACCTCCCAGCTCAAAGCCAGCTCTTCCAAGCACTCTGGGCCGAGGGGGCTTTCACACAGGCTAGAACCAGAGACCTCCTCTTCCAAGAAGCCTAATTTTGTGCACTGGTTTAATGCTCTCTTTCCATCTGTAAATTCCTTGAGGACAGGATGATGGTGTTGTCCAGCTTGGAGTGAAAGACCTGCCTGCACCATAGCCACGGCTGCCTCCTACCTCCTGGCTTCATGTCACTTCACTGATAACTATTTCCCTCAGCTGCAAAATGGTGATTCTATTTAACAGTGGCTTACTTATTCCACCAGATTCACTGGATGTTTGCGAGTGTTAAATGTGCATGGATGTGGTCATGAGCGTTTCCAAGTGCTCTACAGTTCTCAGCAGCATGGTCAATTGGATTACTACTCATATTGGCTGACAGGGTCTCCTTGACCCTGGAAGCACTTAAACATACTGTTGGACTTAATGGGATCAAGCTGATCCCCTCTCCTGTGTGGGAACTCCCACTTGGCTCACAGACTTCATCCACATGAGATTTTAATCATGGATGCTCAAGACTAGCGGAGGTTTGGCTTTCTCTTAAAAAAAAAAAAAAAAAAAAAAAAGGATTTGCTGAGATTGCAAAAAGATATTTTTTTTAATGCCAGAAGCAAACCAACTAGCTTGTTCTTTTAAATGTCCCAGGTTAATACAGTACTTACTTGTATAAACCATGTGCTAATTGCAAGTTCTTCTGTATGCATTAGGAAGACCTAATAAGATGAAAGCTCCTGGTCTGTGGGAAACCTGAAACCTTAGCTCACACTTCTTTCCCACCAGACCCTAGGGATTCTTGTTGCCCAAAGCAGAACGTCTGAGCTGGCAAAGTGTGTTCAGGCTTCAGTATGATATCCTATTTAGTAGGGAAAGCTGAGAGGACCCCCCAGAGAAGACATTGGGGGTCCTCATTAGAACAAATCCTACCAGGAAGGGGAGGAAATCAAGACCACTAGAGCTCAAATGAAAGATGAGGTTGACTTAGCTCCCTGCCAGCTTCAAATATGGGAGACAACTGTTAGTGTGTGCCCCAATCCACACCCAAGCAGGAGAAACTGAGGCCAGACAAAAGGGCAGTGTCCAACACTAGACAGAAGGCAAGGGGAGCAGCGGAGCCCTATTTTGTAAATCCTTGAGATGAAGGCAGGAGTGATTTCTTTAGGGCAGGTTATATAGTAGCAGAGGGCTGGCCCCCCACCTCACAGTGCAGGGCCTCTAAGACTATGACTTACATTGATAAATAATTTACTGCTATATAATGTGTGTGTGTGTGTGTGTGTGTGTGTGTGTGTGTGTACGCAAGAATTGAGGAATTGAGACAGGGCTGAGAGAGAAGTGGGAAGCTTGTAAAACATGAAGAAAAGAAAAACAGTAAATGGACAGCAAAAAAAAACTTACTGTCTAATCATTGTATAGGCAGAGAAAACTTGGCTGAATATCCCAGGCCCTGTGCTAGTCCTCCACCCCTGAGGAAGGGCTTCCACACAGGGAGGTACCCAGGCTGAACAGACTGACAGACCAAGAGCAAGCTGCTCCTCCCTGAGGAAGCCCCCAGGATCCTTAGGGAAGGATTTGGGATGTGGTCTCAGCAGTTCCTGCCTCTCCCTCTAGGAGAATGGCTGAGAAAGGGGTCCTGGGGAGGCCTGTACTGGGATCTCTCACTGTCCCACTTGTCATCTACTGGGCCACCATCAAGGTTGTGACCCCAGGTTGGGGTCTCTGATGAAGGCAGGACCATGCACCCAATGATGGACCCAGTGAAGATACCTCAGCTCCTCCTCACCCACTTTCTTTCAAAGGAGCAGAGGAAGCCACACATAGGGCTTTTGCCTTACCAACAGATGGACCCCAGGGACTGCCCTCAGAACCAGAGTGTGCCCATCCACCCCTCCAGCAAACCACAGGGGGCCACCAACCTTCCTCCCCAGCATCAGAATGTCCCCATACCCCACACAACCAGCTGGTCATGTTCCCATTCACAAGGCCAGAGGTGGGAGGTGGAAGGTGCTCTGATTTCAGATATGAGACAGGACAGAGAGAGAAGTGGGGAAGGGCAGGCAAAGATAGGCTGTTAGGGACATGACTCCAGAAATACTTCTTGGAAATCAAATGGCCATGGAAGTGGAGAAAGCCCTACACTCTATGGTAAGAGGCTGCCCTCTAACCCAATAATCCCCAACCAATCAGATGCTCCTCGGGAAGGAAGGAAGGAGTTGAAGGAACAGAACCAGATGCCAGAGGCAGAGCTGCCCCTAGGGCCAGTGGAGGAGAGAAAGTACCCCACTTCCAACACCCAGATCAGTGAGAATGTGTCCATCCGACTTGCTAGTAGAAACTAGGCAACTTCCACAGTCTGGACTCGGGGTGAGAATATCAGGTAACAGTGTATTCAATGGTATTCATGAGCTTCCCACAGAAATAGGAACCCCAAAGGAAACTCAACTTCTAACCAACCAAGATCCCTAACTCCCCTAGGAAATCTGGTGTTTTCCATCTTGACTTTCCTAGTCAGTATCTGTCAGGCTCTGTCTCCCTCGTTCTCCGTCTCTCTCGGCCCATCCATATGATGGCCATGCAGCTGAGGAGCTCCTGGGTTGGCTGAAGGCTGGAAGGGCAACTATATTAAAGGCTACTTAATCAGAAGATGATCTGGAAACGCCAATGCTAGGCCACCTTATCAGCAAAGCCGCCTTCTGCCTGTGACCTGAATGCAGGGGCCGTGTGGCTGTCAGAAATAGCTGTGGCATCCACACAATGGTACTTACAAGTAGATGCTGGACTCATTGCCTCCCATGTCTGGAGACTGAAGTTTCTGCACAAGGATAACGATGATGCCAATAAAAAGCACAAAGTTAACCTGAGGAGCAAAAAAAAAAAAAAAAAGATGGACATGATTCTGGGCAAAGAATTTATATACCTCTGCCTCAGCATAGGCTATTATTCCCCCACCTAGTCCAGATCCCATCTACACTTCTAGTCCAAGATGGCGGCATAACAACTCATTTATCTCCCCAGCCTCCCATAGTATCATTGAAATGATGGAAGAGGTAGAAAAAGAACTTCATAGGAGTACAGGAAATAGGAAAGGACATCATGAGTAAGCCAGAAAAGTAAGCTATTTCTGAAAGAGAAAGTAAGATCAGGGTGATGGGAAAACTACAGCCCAAAAGAGAGAAAGCAAGGCTATTGTAGAAGTGAGAGTTTTTCTCTAGAAAAAATTCCAAGTTCAGAGTCATGGAAGATGGGGGAACCAGAATGGACATCCATAAGCAATGCTAATTAAAGGACTACCTGGGAGTGGAAATAGCAGCTTTGCCTTCAGATAGACCGGGGACAAAAGCTTCCTAAACAAAGTAGGAAGCTATGTGAACAGTGACAAAGAAGAAGAGGAGCAAAGAAATAGAAACAAGGCACCATGACAGGACTTACAATTCAATATCGTTGGGGCATAGCCAAAGCAGCCCTTGGAGGAAAAAAAATGAAGAGCCAAAAATGAACTGATTCGAAAACAATAAACACTGAAAAACACTTAAGCATTCAAATCAAAAGCTAGGGAAAGATTACCACAAAAGTAACACAATTCTTTTTCTTAGAAAGAAATAAGAAAAAGTAGGAGAACTGATCAACAAAAATAAAGTTTTAGTTGTGCTTTTACCTTGTTTTACAGATCAACTGAATGACAAAACATGTTCCATGAGGGCAGGGTTCTGTCAGTCTTGTTCTCTGCTACATGTTCAGCTTAATCAGTGACTGAACTTAACAGAAATAAGCAAAGGGGAAAGGACTCCCTATTTCAGTAAATGATGCTGGGATCGGGGGTTCATATACAGAAGAGTGAAACTGGGCCCCTTCCTTACACCATATTCAAGATTTAAAGATGAATTAAAGATTTAAATGTAAGCCCTCAAACTATAAAAAGTCCTAGAAGGAAACCTAGAAACCACCGTTCTGGACATAGGCCTTGGGAAAGAATTTATTGCTATCTCCTAAAAAGCAATTACAACAAAACCAAAAATTGACAAGTTGGACCTAATTAAACTTCAGAGCAAAAGAAACTGTCAACAGAGTAAACGGACAACCAACAGAATGGGAGAAGATATTTGCAAACTATTCATCCAACAAAGGTCTAATAGCCAGCATCTATAAGGAACTCAATTCAACAAGCAAAAAATAATCCCATTAAAAAGTAGGCAAAAGATATAAACAGATACTTCTCAAATAAGTGCAAGCAGCTAACAAACATATGAAAAAATACTCCACATCACTAACCATTAGAGAAATGAAAATCAAAACCGCAATGAGATACCATCTCACACCAGTCAGAATGGCTGTCACTAAAAAGTGAAAAGACAGCAGATGCTGGGGAGGCGGCAGAGAAAAGGGAACAGTTAAACACTGTTGGTAAGAATGTAAATTCTGCCACCATGAAAAGCAGTTTGAAGATTTCTCAAAGAGCTTAAAACGGAACCACCATTAGACCCAATAATCCCATTACCGAGTATATGCCCAAAGGAAAATATATCATTCTACAAAACAGATCCATGCATTTGGATGTTCATCACAGCACTATTCACAATAGCAAAGACATGGAATCCACCTAGGTGCCCATCAACAGTGGATTGAATAAAGAATGTCACACATATACACCATGGAATACTACACAGTCATAAAAAGAATGTAACCACATCCTTTGCAGCAACATGGATGCAGCTGGAGGCCATTATCCTAAGTGAATTAACACAAACAGAAAACCAAATACTACATGTTCTTAGAAGTGAGAGCTAAACTTTGGGTACTCATGGACATAAAGATGGCAACAATGGATACTGGGAATGACTAGACAGGAAGGATGGGGGGCAAGGGTTGAAAAACTATTTGGTACTATGATTACTACCTGGGTGATGGGATCAATTGTACCCAAAAACCTCAGCATCATGTGATATACCCATGTAGCAAACCTGCACATGTATTCCCCAGATCTAAAATAGAAGTTGGAAATATTTTAAAACAAAGGAAAAAAGCAATGTCTCGTACTTAGCAAATACTGCTAACTGTATGTGTTAGTCAATGAAAAAGGAGAAAATGTAATTAGACAAATTTAGGAATGAGAAAGAGCAAGACAATAGATATACACAGTATTTTAAATGATGAGAGAAAACTAAACAAAATGGGAAAATAAAAATTAACAAAACTAAGATACAGAAAATCTAAGTAGAGCAATAACCTCAGAAGAAATTAAAAAGTAGTTTAAGATGTATGCATTAAAAGGTACCAGGCTCAGATAATTTTATAGACCAGTTCCAGAATAACATTAAGATGTCATTTACATACTGCTTAACTGTTTCAAGGCAAATAAGCAAACCTTCTGGATTACCTATGAGGCTAACAAAATTTTGCTACAAAAACAAAATACGGAGAGAAAATACACAGGTACGCACAACCCATGTACCTAAGACCATAGAACTTTATGAAGAACAATGCTAAAAACTTAAAATATTAACAAAATTTAGCAACATAGTAAAAGAATAGGCAGATCATGTTAATAAAGGTTTTATTCCAGAAATACACCTCCAGAAATCTAATATTTTTTACAATAACAGATGAAAACAGTAAGCTTCCATTATGCCCCATAAGACCAGCAAGTAGAACTCAGCAACAGAAACACCAACAAAGACATGGGAAATTGGCACTCTTGTAGCTTGCTCATAAAGAGCAATCTGATCTGCATGAACATGTTAAATGACATACCCTTTGTCCCAAAAATTCCACTCTTGAGATTTAGTCTAAAGACATATTCACATATGTTCAAGATATGAATAAATGTATTCATCGTAGCACTGTCTATAATGAAGGAAAACTGAAATACTATAAATGTCCATCACTAAATAAACGATTACTTGAATAAATGTCTCCAAAACACATTTGATACAATTAAACACCCATTCTTGATTATTAAAACAAAAAAGAAGCCAAGAAGAAAAACTTTCCCAATTTGATGAAGGGTAACCACCAAAACTAGAGCAAACACCATCCCTACGAAAAACAAGAGCTAGAAGATGTAAACACTGGAATGAAAGAGCATAAACTATTTTCATTTGAAGATTATATAATTTTCTACCTAGAAATTTCATGAAAACCAACTGAAAAGAAAAAGTTCAGAAACATAAGCAAAGACACAATACATAAAAATCAATAGCTTTCCCTTACAGCAGCAATAGCCCATTAGAAAATACAATGAAAGAATGATTCCTAGACCCACTTAAAGCCCAAACTGGAAAACCCCTTAGAGGGAAACATAACAAGAACAAGGAAGAAAACTAAAAAACTTAACCAAAATGACTCCATAAGAAAAGACTGAAACATGGAGAATCATGCCATATTCTTGGAGAGGATGACTCAATCTTTTAAGAAAATAAATTCTCTTCCAAATTAGTCTGTGATTGCAATGCAATTCCTATAGAGATCTTCACTAGACTTTCTGGTGCAACTTGACAAGGATATTAAAAAGTACACCAGAAAGAGTAAACGTGAAAGGAAAATTTGAAGAAAACAAAAGAATAACAAAGGGAAAATCTGCATACCAGAGCATGCTACAAGGTTACAGTAACTAGCATAATGGTGCATCTGCCACGGGAATGGACAAATAGATTAGTACGTCTGGAACCAAAGACCAGTATGTTGAGGGTTTATAATAAAATGACATTTCAACATAATGGAGAAAGGATTCAATAAAAAGGATTGAGAGGGTAGAATGTCCATCCACTGAAAAAATTAGATAAAATTGAATATCATTTCAGACCAGACAAAACAATAAAATTTCAGCCGGATTAAAGATGCACATGTAATAGTCCACAAAAAGTGGACAAGAATAATCTTTTTATATCTTGGTTGGAAAAGGCCTCCATCAACCAGAAATAAGGCTTGGAATTTATTAAGAGAAATCTTGACCATTTGTCTCTACAAATGCTATGCAGAAATGGAAATATACTTACATATACAACAAAGAAAGTGTTAACTGTCCTTTCAACTGTAAGAAAATCTGATGGAAAACTGAACAAGATAAATAGGAATATTCACAAGAAAAACAAATTGTCAATGTTTGGCAACAAACGCTCAGTCACACTAGCAAGACGGAGAAATGTACACCAAAATGATGACCCAGCATTATCCTCCTTAAGCCTGTGCAAAAATTAAATGATTGGTATTATAAGTATAGATAATGAAACAGGAAACGAGCCATTCTTCCTGAGGAGGCATAAATTGTTAAAGGGTTTTTGCAAAGCAATAATTTGGGATCTGAAACTTTAAATGTCTACCCCTTTTGACCCAGCAATTCCACTTCTAAGGATTTATTCTAAAGAAATATTTCCACATGCTCAAAATTATGCACAAAACTATTTCTATTTTTTGTAATGAGGAAAATGGAACAACATAAATCTCTAATGCTAAGAAAATAGCTAGTTTGTACATCCCTGTTTCAGACTGTAATGACAGAAGGAAACTAGGTTGTGTGTTCATTTCTCTTCTTGTGCCTTGCTCCCCGGGACCCCGTCTCTTCCCTTCCTCTTTATCCCAAGGACACTCACCATGATAGAGCCAACCACAGGACCTTTGATCACCCACCACAGAGCTGTGCTGTCATTCATGTCCCAGCAGCTGAAAGAGAGAAACGAGATCGCATCCATGAGTCAGTGATGTGGATGCCCGAAGGACACTGCTCCACCTAGCTGGGAGCCCAACACCTTCAGCCCTGCAGTTCTCTGAGGGGCTGGCTGGAAGAAGAGCTCTCCAGTGGGCTTCAGACTCCAGCCTGGTCCTGGCTCTGAAAATCTCTTCCTTCTGAGCCTCTGTCTTGCCCTCCACTTTTGGGCATGAAGCCCAAAAGTCAGGATCACCAATGAGCTCCTGGGAAAGGACCATTTTTCCCCCGTGAGACCTACAGTTCATAGGGTGTGACCTCCCCCTTAACATGCTTCCTCCCCTCCCTAAAAGGAAAGCAGACACTCAGAGCTGAGTGCAGAAGTAAAAAGGGCTCAGAAACCTAGCACATTCTCTTGCTGGGTTTCTGGCTGAGATGCAGCTGGATCGGTTACCTGCATGGAGCCAGGGCTCAGGTGGTGCCCAGTGCTGGACTTTAGTCTGGGCCTGGCATTGAATGGTTTCTTGGGGGCAGTTCATGTGAAGTCAGGGCAGCCACTGAGAACCCATCTGTAAGAATCTACTCTGTGCTATGGCCCTGACTCTCAAGCATGTACTAACCCTGTGTCATCAAAGTAGAGTCTCAGTGTAGCCCACACCGTCACGCACACAGTCGGGGTCCCTGAGAGAACAGAAAAGAGGTTCATGACAACAGAAAAACCAACATGTCCAATGTCCGCCTCAGACCAGGGGCTCCCGGGGGCTATCGCTCCCCCATAAGACTTGGAATTCCTGGGAATTCTAACTGTCCCTCACACCCAGGCCTCCTGAGAGTTGATATCTTCCTTGAACCAAGGGCTCTCTTGTTTCTCTGAGGACTCCTGGGCATAACTCCTCCCTCAGATAGTGGGCTTTCTACAGGCAAGAAGAACGAGAACAAGTCCAAGAAAGAGCCCAGGCCATTAGCCTTGGGCAGGGCAGCCCTCCTCACCTGACACTTCCTGAAGGCGGAACCAAGGACACACCTGGCCGTGAGGCATGAGCCTGTCCAAGCCATAGCCAGGAACCTACCCCAGCCAATAATGGTGTACCAGTAGAAGTATCTCCTTTCAGGGAAGAAGGTCTCCACCAGCAGGGTGAAGAGGTACAGGCCCTCGATGAACAACCAGAAGTAGTTGGACACGACACAGTAGTGGAAGAAAACCATGACAGCCTTACATTCCACCTGCAGGAAGAAGCGTCAGGGCGAGGGACGTGAGACCAGTAGGAACGGAAGCAGGGAAGAATCCTAGAGCCCACTGGCTCTGGCATGCACAGGCTCAAGTAGCCCAAGGATCTAAGAGTCAGCATTCCTGGATCAGAGCTGAAACTGCGGCATCCCAAGATTCTCAGTCAAAGCTGCCCATGGAGGCAAAACTGCACACACAGGACGAAGACGGATGGCAGACACAGGCCTCGCCGCTGCCAGCGCACTCCCCTTCACTTTCCTGCTCCTTCCCTATCTCCCTCAGCGGAGGGGAGGAGGGAGAGAAGCAGCCAGAGGACCCTGCAGGAGGCTCCTTAGTATAATGAGGATTTGGACACCTTTCAAGCAGGGAGATCTCTATTCCTGGCCTCCAGAAATCTCTACACATGGAGGCCCCCCACACATGTCCCCCTGGTCAAGGCCTGGACTTTACGCTGTTCTTCCTAACCTACCTCCTCAAAGCCCAACTTCTCCTCATGTCACCTCCTCTAGAGGTATGAGACCTGGGAAGGTGTCTGGAAAGACCCCTGGCCAATGAGCACCTGGGCTCCATCCCAGGCTAAATGACCAAGGGTGGGTAAGCCCTCTCTCAGCCTGAGTTTCCACCTCAGTCACATGGGACTTGGTGTTCCCACCTGACCTTCCTCCACTGCCTTACCAAATACAACACTCAAGCCAAGGGACAGGAAGCATTTTGGCTGGAAGTGATGATGTACATTGGCTCATTGGCTACTAGTTTATGTGATTCCTGAGTTTTCACATAAACCAAGGGTGGTGGGACAATGCCTTCACCTACAGGAACACACTTGACCTGCAGGGTGTCAGGCAGGGAATGTGCATCCGGAGAACCAAGGAGATGGTGTGGGGCCTTCCTGGCAGAGCCCCCTGGCCTGCTTGGCTCACTCACGGTAGAGACGAAGCAGTGGTTGCTGTCCTGCTCTGCATACAGAATCCAGTCTTTGATGAAGACGGAGATCGCTCTCAGCATGAACGACACAAACAGGTTCATGTGGATGAAGTTGCGTGTACAATGCAGCTTCCTACAGGAGTGGGCCGGGGAGAAAGAGGCCTTGGACCCCACAGCATCTCACGCCCTCCATGTGGGCATCCGCGGTGGGCCGATTCCATGGCTTTATCTCAGGTCTCCCACCCAGACCACCCTCCTTCCTGCCACCTCTCTAAATCCTCACTGACTCCCAGGCCCCTATAATCCAGCTCCACCACCCCACATGGCCAGACTTCTCCCTCCTGTGGCTTCTGTCTATCTAGACTAGGAACACGAAAGCAAGGAATGCAGATCTTCTGCCCTGGCTCTGCCTGGCTGCGTAGCCCTGGACATGTCAGTTATTCTCTCTGGGGTGAAGTTTCCCATCTGTTACCCTTGGGGTGGGGGAAATGCCTTCCAAGGGGCCTCTTAGGGCTGATATCAAGTGGGTAGGGGAGAGCTGGACCAAGGCCTCTGAGGCCCTGGCCAGCTCTGGTGCTTGCTTGAATGCTGCTGGGGGTCTCACCGGAAGCGACACAGGATGACCATGGCAGTGGTAAGGGTGACGAGGGATGTGCTATAGCCAACCGTGTAGAGGGCCTTTACTGACAGGTAGTAATAATCCTGGACAGGGTACAGGACATACAGGGCTTCATGTGAGACTTGTCCCCAGCCAGCCCCCCTCAGGCCTGCACCCAGTCTCCCAGACCAGCGCCTGCCCACCTCCAGGCCTAGCTCCTCCTCCCTCTCTTCTGCTGATCTCATCTCCACCACCTCTCACCCCCCGGCCAAGTCTCTTACTCCCTTTTGCACAGTGTCAGCATTCTGCAGATGCTCGATAGATGCTGTTGAAGGCAAGAGCGCTGTCCAATCGGAACAGACAGCAGCCTTGGCCTGCACAAAGGTCCAGGAAGCCCCCTGCTGGGCCTGGCATTAACCCAGCATCCTGGAAGAGTAGCCAGGATGGGAAGCACAGCCAGCATCTCAGTTGCTTCTCAGCCCCAGCAGGTGCTGATGAATGCCGCCTACTGACCTGAGTTTGCTCAGCCCTGCCCTCACCGCCTCTGGGGAGCAGGGTGCAGACACTCACTTGGTCCCCAGTCTCAGATTCATATTCATCAAACCCACAGGCATCAAAGTAATGAGGGAAGGGTTCCGACCAGCCATCCTCTGTGCAGTTCCGGCTCACCACTCCCATGTCTGCAGTAAAAAGAAAATGCAGCAAGACCCTGAAATTCATCTGTGAAAATTATGTGTTCAATGGGAATTCCTGGAAACCCCTATAACCAACTGGGAAGCACGGGGGAAGGTTTTAGAAATCAGCGATTGCTAATCGGAGGGTTGGAGAGACAAGGAGCAGGGTCATTTCAACCAAAGATGGGGAGACTGCACCAGCTGAATCCAGCAGCCCTGCATCCCTCCTCACTGGAACATTTCCAAATGCTCATCAGGGATGGGCCTGAGTCCTCCCCTGGGCTCTGGATCAGCACTTCTCAAATGTCAGTGTGCAGAACCACCTGGGAGACTGATCACAAATGCAGATTCCAGACCTGCCCCCAAAGATTCTCCGTCAGGAGATCTGGGCACTTTGAGGAATCCCCTCTGGTGACTGTAGGGTATGGGTGATATCCTTGGCACACCTTGGGAACACATCTTGATGTGATGCTTTCCCTCGGAGCCCTAAGCTCTAAGCCTCACAGCAGCTGCGACATCCTACGAGGGGACACAGGGCTTACTTCATTAACAAGGTCCAGACCTCCACTAACCTAGGGCTGGATCTTACGAAGATATATATTTGGGATTTCTTGTAAAATTTTGCCTTTCAGCATTTGGGGGACTGTCTCCTGTCACTAATGTACTTTAATTTTCTTTTGATTGACTTTAAGGCCATTCATAGGGACACTCGAGGGGCTGGGTTCAGTCATGGCCATCAAATGAGTCATTTGCTGGCTGCGCAGTAGAGTCCAGGCTGGGTTTTGCCCTGCATGGGGCTGTTAGCCTTTCATGATTGCTTTTTCGTTTTCCCCTCACCCGATGGTTTATAATGGTGGGTGGGTGATGTCGAGGGTGGGATGGGGATAAGCAAGCAGCCCCCTTTTCCTCCAGCCCAGCACCTGAGTGTGGCCCCAGCCTGACACTGGGAGTGTACTTGGTCTATCAGGACCACATACGGTTGGTTCTTCCCTTCACAGCATTCAAAGACCAGGACGTTACACAAAACAAGAGATACCTGCAGAAAAGGGGTTCCAGTACCCATATTGCTGGACAGGTCACCTCCAGGGAACTCGGGAAGGAGGCAAAGGGGGCAACAGGTCAGCCTTTGTGGGAGGCAGAGGCCAGGAGAGGAGATCCTTCCGCTTTTCCAATCTGCGTCCCTCATTTGTTGCATTAGAAGATCTAAGGCCAGTTCTCTTTAGCCAAGAAAGTCAGAAATGAACTTTCTGGGATGTGGGTAACTCTGCCAGAAAGGAGAGTTCTGCCCACAACAGGGAGCCTGGGCTCCAGCCCTTCTCCAACTCTGAGTTCTATGGCACAGGCTAAGGAGGAAGCTGGCAGGCCGAGGGGGAGCAAAGGAGCTCGCTTCTGTCCCACAGCTGATGCCAAACTGTCCCTTCTTCCAGCAAATCTGTTTCAGGCAACCTCCTTTTAAGTCCCTCTGAACACTTCTTTCAGAAAGTCTGAATGTCCCAGGGAAATCACCACCGTGGCCAAGCTCCTTCCCCTCCCTGGGCCTCATTTCCTCTCCGCTTTGCTCACATCAGGGTGGTGGGAAGAGGAAAGGGAAGCTGCTTTGAAACACAATATTTTTTGAAAAAAGTGTTCTAGAGGGAAAAGCCGTTTCCTTTCTTTTATTTCCTTTTTTTTTCCTTTTTATAACAGTGTGGGCTCAGAGAAGTATAAACCCTTTTGTTCAGAGCTGTTCCATGAATTCGCCACTGCATTGTTCTAACAGAAATCTCCGGAAGATGGAGTGCTCTTGAGATTGTCAAAACCCCTGGGTGATTGTACCTACTTGACTAGCCTGATCTGCCCCAGAGACTGCACAGGAACATAGAACTTCGGGCAGCGTTTCCCAAAGGGCTGCCCTACCCAATCAGCCCAGCAGCATCGCCTGGGACGCTGGCGAGACAAGCACATTCTCAGGCCCCAGCCCAGGTGGAATAAATTAGAGACTGCCAGGAACTTGCATTTTAACAGCACACGAGGTAACTGACACACAGCTAAAGCTTAAGAGCCGCTGTTCTACATGTTGGAGTTCAGAAACAGTCAAGACTGACACAATCCAGGAGTTCTTCAAGTCCACAAGGGGACCCTAAGACATCTGTGGATCCCCTGAAATTCTATGCAGTTTTCTGTCTGAGTTTTTCTGGGAAAGATAATCTGTACCTCTATCAGAGAAAGTCACCGGCCAAAGATAACCCAGCCACAGAGGGGCAGAGCCCAGTCTCGTATGGGGCTCTCAAAGCTGGCACATCGGCAGATGCCCTCCCTCCAGCCAGTCCATGGTTGACCCCCGCCTAACCCCTTACCTGAGAGTTCTAAGGAGTTACTGTCACCAAAATCAGACTCTCCTGCAAAATACAGACATAGGCGGGTATCAAAATGCCTGGCTTACAGTTAGCTACTGTTTGCTGTCCACCCTGGAAGGCTCAGGCTACCCCTGGTCTACAGGAAGGAGGGGGAAGGGGTCCTGGCCAAGAGGCAACATCACACAGCAGCCGCACACCTTTCTCACATGCCACCTTCTAACACCAGTCTCACTTGCTTTGCATTTCTGTGATGTTCAGGACGGTCCAGGACTCAGTCTCCACAACAGGAAATGGCAATGGGCATTGCCAGGAGGATGGGAGGGCCTCCAGAATGGAGAGGAATGGGAGAAAATGAAAAGGGATGGTTGGGCCTTTTCAAGAAAAGGGCGAAACACAGCAATGAGGGCGCACGGCTTGGGGTTTCCTTTTTGGTTTTCAGCCCTCCACCTCAGCCTCCAGAACTGCTCTTCATCAAAGGGAATCCAGAAGACTTCATCTTCAGACAATTTCTCTTCTCTCTCTCCTCTTCATTCCCATTTCTCATGCCAAACCCCTGCTAGCAATGAGACCCCATTTCCACCCCCACCCCCACTTCTCAAAACTCCTTTCCCAAGGTCCAGCTGACATGCCACCTCTGCCTGGAAGCCTCTCCTGACTCCACTATTCTGCCTGCATGCTGCATCATTCACTCTTCTGTTCTCTTGCTCACTGTGCATTCTGTTTTCTTAGGTGTCAGGGATATCACCATCTGCATGGACTGAGGCACATGTTCAGGTCCGTACGTATGCACATGCATGCACCTACACTTATGTGTCAGCTTGTTTCTTAGCCCCTCCATTGGTGAGTCCCATCCTCCCAAACAAGCCTGTGAGGGCCCCGAGGTCCCACCTGTGTCTTGCATCTTCCTGTACCCTCCACCTCCAGAATGGCCAAGGTGGGGGAGAAGGGGAGGGAGGAAGGAGGAAAGAGCCTGATCCCCAATGAGCCTCTTACTCCACCCCCACCCCCGCCCCAATCCCAGCAGCCAGATCCTGGGATCTCCTGAGGCTGGGCTCCTGCTGGATGGACAGAGAGACAGTGGTCTGTCCTCACCAAGGTTCCTCTTACCAATGGTTTCGGTCTCCCAGACTGAAAGAGAGGGAGAGAGAGAGAGGGGTCAGAAGTAAGCAGTGGGGCTGAAGTCAGGTGGTGCTCTCATCGGACCCTGCTGAACACTTCCTCCTCCTTCCCACCCCCAAACATTAAAAAGGGGCTCTGGGGAACCCAGAAGGTATGAGGACTATAAGCTGAGAATATTGGAGACCTCCAGAAAAGAAATGGGCAGAGGCATTTGAGAGGAGGAAGGAGATGAGTGCTCCCGCATCTCCAGTCTCCAATATCCTACACAGCCACAGTCATCACAACAGGCTACCTGGGAACTGAGAAGAAACAGGAATTCCATTCTCTCCCTGCCAAGTATTCAAAGCAGGTCTCACCAATCAAGCTTTGTGAAGAAAGGCGCTAAAAGGCCCTGCCATAATGAACCATTAAGAATCAGGTGTGAATAACACCTTCATTGTGCCACTTCCAGAGGAAGGGGGGAGTGTGGAGGAAAGTGTATCTTAGGAAAATCTTATTTTACTGTTGATTCATTTTGCCTTTTGATGAGGAGGAGGAGTCTGGCATGGAATCTGACCCAGAGTAGATGTTCAATAAACTTTAAAGGAATGATGGAATGAAAGGAATACATGAACGGAGGAAGTGATTAAGCTGGCTCTACAGGAATGAATTGGAAATCAGGCTGAATCACTTGGTGCCACCACGCCTGACGGCCCTCCAGTCCTACTGTATCTCTCACTCCAGTGCCTGTATCCTCTTTCAGTATTCACTGCGGCCTGCTCCGGTCACACCCAGTCCCCAAGCCTTCAGGTGGGAGAGTTCCATGCCCCCCTCCTAGGCCGACAGGTGGTCTGGAGGTGGAGGTATGCTGCAGAGTGCAGTGCATCTTAGACAAACCTTGGGGTGGGAGCCAGAGACGAGGGGCCTGGGACCCCAACACACACCACTATTTTCTCTGCTACCTCCTGCAAGCCCCTCCCCCTCCAGGGCAGAGTCAGTTATTGGAATTTGAGGTTTGAGAGCAAATTTGCCGTTTTCCTCTCAGAGAGGTCAGGGGACTGCCACAGGCAGGACTCGGTGCCAGAGTAGAGCCTGGAAACTCGCCCCTTCTAGAAGGACATCAGCCTAGGTCTCAGGCTGGAAAAGGAGAATGCTAAGGCCAGGTCCATGACCACACAAAACTTGGACCCCTCTGATCCCCTCAGCCCCCGCCCATGGCTTGATGGCCAGGATGTGGCTCAGTAAGTCACCTGCTTGAAGCCAACCCCGCCAGCTCTCCCTGCCCAGCCCCAACTCAGTGCCTTCAGCTGGCCACCCTGCCTCCTGTGACACAGGGAAGAGGCAGAAGGCCTGTGGGAAGGCTCACAGGTCCCAGCTGAAAGGCAGGAACCCTCCTGAAAGAGCCCATGGGACCCATATGGAAAGGAGCCATCTGCAGCCATCCCTTCCCCTCAGATGCCCCCTGCAATGGAGATAGGGCTACTGGGGCTTCTGCCTGTGGGTAGAGCATCTCCTTCTCTCCCTTACCCTCACCCTACATGCCACTTGGGCACAGAGCTTGGCCACTCTGCCCAACTCACAGGCTCCTCTATGATTCTGGGGCCACTGGATACCTCCATAGCACTTTAGGGGCCCCCAAGATCTCAAACACAGACATGCCCCAAACTCAGATCTTCAGGACACTGCACCCTCCCAGCCTTCCCTCTCAGGGAAGTGCCATCGCACACGCATGCCTCCAAGCTCATGTCCATGAGTTACCGACAGCACTGTGGCACTGTTTCCCATGTGTGGCACCCTCTCCCCTGGCAGCCCAAGGCCAGACCCCTCCCCATCTAAGTCCGAGTAACTGCGTGAGGGCATCGAGGGCCCAGAAAATGCTCTGTTGAGCAAACATGAGTGTGTGCCCGCCCCACCAGGCCCTGTGCCAGCGTCTAAGTGGCTCTGAATGTGGACGTGGGTGTCTTGTGTCCAGCTGCCTTCCCCACGCGTCTCATTCTGCCTGAGGGGGATGTCTACAGCATCTCTCTCCATGCCTCCCGCTGGGCCGCTGAGGATCGATCTGTCACTGTGGGAGGATGGTGACAATCCCAGCTAACATTTACTACTGCACATTCAAAACGCACCAAGTCCTGTGCTAAGTGGCATCCACGGCATCACTTCATGTTACCCTCACAAAGGCACCCTGGGAGGGGACCACTGGGCCACATTCCCCAGCTGACAGGGGCCCGGGCTAGAGGATGAGTGATAGCTGGGATGGATCCCACACCTGAGGACACAGCCTTGCTCTTACCCACAATGATGGTCCCCATATGTACCTGTGTCCCCATGTATGCATGTCTGGTTTCATCCCCCATACCGCATGTGAGCTCAGGAGCAGGGGACTCTCTGCCCACAGGGTGGCCTCCCTGTCCTTGGTGCTTGCCTGGGGCCAAGTTTGGGGAGCGGCCTAGACCAGTGTGACCTAAAGAGCCTCTGGGTTAAACCTACCTTGGTCTGGGTTGAAGATTCGGAAGAGTTCAGGGCAGCTGACCAGGACCATCTCACCCACGTGGGCGGGCTTCCAACACGTGATGTTATCCCACATCCCGGGACAGCCTGTGGAGAAGACAGCCATGGTGAGAGGGGCCAGACACACACACACATCACACACACCACATTCTCACACCACACACATCTCACACCACACACATCTCCCTTACCTGTTTTTACACCACCCCACAGCCCCACAACCTCGAAAGATTGTGGAGAGGGGAGACACACCAGGCCAGGCTGGATCCCTAGGAATGAGATGCTGAGATGCAGGTGTCTCTGCAGCAGCCTCTCCCACATCCCTCACCCAAGCCGCTCCTCAGCAACCCCTGAGGGGTCCCACTTCAGATCCACCCCTCAGCAAGGCCCCCTATCTGCCTTAGGGGGAGGGGCAGGAACAGGCTGGCCTAAGACTGCCCCTCCACTACTTCCACCTACCTGCAGGCAAGCCCAGCAGGGGACACAAATTCATCAGCTGGAGAAGAGGGGGAAAGCCAGCCAGGCAGAAGCTTGCACGCATCAGGCTAGAATTGTGAAAGGACCCAGAACCAGAAAAGGTGGAGGCAGGGACTGCTGCAGAGGCCTCGGCAGCATCTCCAGGCTGACAGGAAGGGACAAGCCTATTGAGAGATGCTTAGGAATCCCCAAGACTTGGTCCTCATTGGACATGAGCAGTGAGGAAAAGGAAACTGTCAAGCTTGATGACCAGATTTTCGGGTCTGGGGGCCCAGCGGCTCCCCTGACCCCTCTCCTCCTGTGCCTGCCTCTTTCCAGCCCTACCAGCCTCTGTAGAGCTCCCTGCACTGCCTGCCGCCACCTCTTCCTGCTCCATCCCTACTTCTCTGGCTCTGTCCTCCCACAATGCTGGAACACCTCTCACCAAGGTCACCAGTGACCTCTTTGCTGCCAAATCCAAAGTATAATTTCAGCCCTGACTGGGTCCAACCCTGCAGTCCCAACTGAATGCAGGTGCTGGTAGCTGCCCTGCCTTTGGCTGCCCACTCTGCTAACCTCAGGACTCACCCTGCTCATGAGTATAACAGAATTGCATGTGGACAACTCCCAGTCCTCTGTCCTGTCCACCCCATGAGGGTAGAGCTCACAGCTGGTTGCCTGCTCGATACCCCGACCATGAAGGACCAAAGATGGTTCAAACACAGCAGTCCAAGACTCAATGCAGCATCTCCTGCCCAAACCTGATTGCCTGTTCCAGCCCCAGCTGGAAACCTGGGAGTCACCCCACTTCATCTCCTTCACCTTGGTGCTCCTGGTCGAGCCCTTCGTGGTTTCACCTTGAAACCTTATGCAATCCTTGCCTCACTCTCTATCCCTTCACCCTACCCGGTGAAGGGATTAGGATCCCTCACTGAGACCACAGGTACACAAACCCCATAGAGCTACAACCACAAGCTTTTCAAAATGAGTATCTGGCCATGTCACAAGACCTCACCAACTATCCCATGCTTTCCAGGATTTTGGTATCCTCAATCCTTAATATGGTACTCATGGCCCTGCCACTCGTTTTTCCTTCTGGCCTATGGGTAGTGGTTGAGGCCATGGGATGAGACAGCTCACTGTGAGAAGGGATGTACAGTGAGAAGAGCATGGAGGAGGGAACCCTGCTATGGGTTCCGTATGGAGACGGAGCATGGAGACCCTGTATTTATGGAGCAGGCAGAGGAAATGCATGTAGTGATGCAAGCAGGAGAGAGCGGCAAAGGTGTGGTGGGAGGCAGGGGTGTGGAGTGCCAGGCAGCAGAGGAGACTTGCAGGAAAGGGGCCTCCATCTGTTAGGGGATTATAAACGAAGGCTATGAAGGCTTCTGTGCCATATCAGGGACAGCGGGTGACCGACAGTGCCCACCTCATAGGGCTGCTGTGAGGATTAATGAGTTCACATGTGCAAAGCTCTCAGAACAGAGCCAGGCTCATTCAATGCCTGTTCACGGCTGTCAGAATCATTAATTTCATTATCCCAATTAGGTGTCTCTGGGAACCATTCCCCCGAGAGGCCTCCATAGGCAGGGAGGTGAAGCAGGGACCTGCAAGGTGAGATGGCCTGGGGAAGGGCTGCTGATAGGGCCCAGAGGACACCCGGGAAGATGCTGGGAAGGAGGGGCCTGGAGCAGGCACCATGAGCTCACAGTCTTTGTTGGGGTCCATGACGCTTGAGTGCTATTTGGACCAGAAGGCATCCACAGCTTGTAGATTGAGAAAATCTTGTCTCGGAATTCACACCGGGCTATTTTGGAATCTGCACCCAGTCACATTGGCCCATAGCATCCTGTTCATAAATGGCAGAGTTTGGGAGCCAGACATACCATAGAAAGCTCTGAGAACAGAAAGCCAAGAAGGCAAAGATATTAAAGGCCGGATGAAGGGAGCTGGGTACCAGGTCTCAGAGCAATGGGCCAGTCATCGGTGATTCCTGTGTAACGATTAGCAGAGGACATCTAGCCAGCATGTGCCTGGCTGTGACATCACGTCCTTGAAAGAGAACCAATAGCACATCTTTGGCTGCTGCAGCCCATGTTGATCGCGGAACGGCCATGGAGCGTGGCTGCGTCTGGCCCATGCCTCAGGAGCCCCAGCCAACAGATGTTCCCTTAATGGAGAACATTAGGCCCTGGCACAGCCAGCTGCTGCTGCCATCTGACATTGCCGAGGTCACGGGGCCACTTCAGACAGAACGAGCAGGGTGGTGAGGGTTGAGGGCAGGGAGGGCTGCAGAGATCGGGCAGGTGGCACGAGGTGAGATGGGGGGCTCGTGTTGGCAGGACAGGGGATGCATTCTCTTAACTACTATGTACTAAGTGCCTGCCTTGTGCCAGGGACCATCTATGCACCAGGGCCGGTGCTGGAGAAAAACACAAAGCCGTGAAACTGATGTTTGAGGGGAAGAAGAGGAGCTCTCCACACAGCATTAGCACCGGAAGCCCTAAAACTCGAGTTCTGATCTCCTTCTGCCACAGGCTCACTGGTGACTCAGGCCAGTCACCGCCCCCTCCACCATGATTCACATTTCCTATGTGTGCAGGGAGGACTGAGTCTGAACTCCCAGCTTTGAGTGACCAGAGCTCAAATCTGAAACAGATTCACCCAGGACCAACTGGTGCCCAGGGGATGGCTGGGGTGGCTAAAGCTGCCTAAGGGGCATCTGCTACGGTGCTTCACCCCAGCCCGGGGCGTGGGAGCTCTCAGGATGTATCTGCCACAGCTCTCAAAGCCTTCCTGGTACCCCTTAAGTCCCCAGCCTGGGCCCCCTCTAGAGTAAAGACAATTGCCATAGTACCAAGGTAGGTAGGAAACCTAGAATGAGCCTCAGGACCCCGGGACCCAAATCCCAGTCTGGGTTTGGAAGACAATGTCCCTGGCCCTATTGGGAGCTCCAAGACCTTTACCCAGTCCTCTAGTCTGCATTGCTGCAGTCTCAGACTCTGAGCTGCCTCCCTGGGGCTCCCCACAATGCCCTGGTGCCCATTTATCTTGGTTACCACCTCCCAGCCCAGCACAGGTGGCAAGGCCCAGCGGGCTCCCACCTTCACTCCTCCATTGAATGGAAACTGCTCTGGCCTCAGGGGATTAGAGCTGAATCCTCCCAGGGCCCTGTTCCCTGGAGGTTGGGAGGATGGGAGTTGGACTCCCGAGACAGCCTTGGGTTTTTCTAACTAAAAGCAGCAACTGATTTCCTTTCACTCACACACAGTACGTCCAGCTTCCACAGACCCATATGTTCCACAACAAAATTTAGTTTTGTTGAGACTGGAAGATTTCAAGATGCCTTTTCTCCTTCTCCTCCCCCTTCTCCTTTTTTACCTTTTTTTTTTTTCTTCCCACTTTCCTCTCCCTCTTTCTCTTAATTACTCATTTATTCAAGACACACTGAGTCAGACACTGCAGAGCAACACAAGAGTGAATAGAAAAGGCACAGTCTCTGCGTGCACAGAGTTCTTACTCCGGTGGGTTAACACATTGAGATTTTTATCCTCAATGCTTAGAGATGTCACTGGGTGGTATATTCATTCCCTACTGCTGCTGTAAGTTTGTAAGCAAACTTAGTGTCTTAAAATGACAAAGCTTATCTTACATTCCTGCATGTCACAAGTATCATCTTACGTTCCTGCAGGTCACAAGTCCGAAATGAGTCTCAACTAAAATTAAGATGTCAGCAGGGTTGCATTTCATCTGGAGGTTCTAGGGGAGAATCCATTTTCTGGACTTTCCAGATTTAAGAGGCCACCCACATTCCTGGGCTCATGGCCCCTTCCTCCCTCTTCGAAGCCAGCAGCTTTGCAGCCTCAAGTCTCTCCTCTTTGATTGTCCTGCCTCCTCCTTTCACTTATAAGGACCCACGTGATGATACGGGGTCCGCCCAAATAATCCAGGATAAAATTCTCAGTTCAAGAACCTTAATTACCTCTGCAAAATTCTTTTTGCTATGTGAAGTAACATATTGACAGGTTTCAGGGATTAGGATGATGTGGGCATCTTGAGGCAGGGTGAGGGGTATTATTTGACCTGACACAGATGGGCTTTAAAGGAGTCACACTTTGATTTGGTTGTGTAGGGAAGATCATATAGTCCAATAGCAGAGATGCAGACACAGGGAGGCAGCAGAGTTGGAGTCCTGTGTGGGACAGAGTCAGGAGCAGGGCTGACAGGGCTTGGGGAGACACTGGCTGCACCTGGCTGGCAAATGTGCAAAAGTCTTAGTTCTCACCCACATCACCTGAGGACACACCAATGGTGAGTAGGTGGAGTGCAGACCCAGCCTCTAAAACACCCCAGCAGGCTTCCACAGCCTTCCTCTCTTCCTTCTCTGTACCACCCTTGAAGGCCACATGTTAAGGGTAGCAGTGTTCCAAGATGGAAGAAACCTGGATCCCTAAATGACTGGGTGAAGTTGAGTTCCACCTCCTACCTCGGCTGACCCTACTGGTCTGATACATGCAAGCAAGAAATGTTATTGTGCTAAGTCTGAGATTTTAAGATTGATGTGTTACTGCTGCAAAGTCGAGGCCATCCTGACTAACATATCCTGAAGTGGGGAGAGGTACCAAGGATGT